ATGGCCTTTCAACTGTGACCTGTTTGGAAAGGGTTAAAACACTTTCAAAACAAAATGTAAAGGTGAATTTTTTTGAGAGATAAAAAATAAACTTTTCAATGTCAGTAGAGAAAGATAAGAGTTTATAAGGAGGATCATTAATTTTATTAATTCCTTTTTATTTTTTTGGAACACTATTTAAAGGTTTAAGATTTGAGAAATTGTAGAATTATGGACACTTGTGTAACACACATCAGAAAAGTCAGAAAAGCTAGGTATATGTAAAAGTAAGATACTTTTTTGAAAGTAAATAGCTTCATATTCACTTTAACAATTCATCCTTGCAACTTTACTTGACAAGCTTATTATCATGAAACCTACATTTAAAAACAGGTCATAAATTATTTTTTATGAATATTCTGGCCTGATAGGGTTAGCTTAGTTATGAGTTTGCCTCCATGAGAATGTCTGATGAAAGCAAATACAACCATTCCAAAGCAAATTCTACCATGGCAAATACTTCACTGAAGATAAACTGCTGTCTATCATGTTCTGGGAAAAGCAAAAACAGACCACTGCTATATTATTTCAGATTTTTTTTTCTGTGGTGCACCATTAAGATGTGTTTAAACTCTGCTCTTATTTCTTTCCCTTTTTGTCTTCAATCTTCATAAGTACAGTAGGCATAAATACTACTTTTATCATAATAATACTATATTCTTCCATTTACAATTAACAGCAAAACAGTGAAAGTTTTCTTATCAGATTCTTGGTTCTTAACTGTCAGTTGAAAATACAATGACAGTGCATCATATATTAACTAATTTATTTGTTAAATACAAGTTATAATAGAACCCTCACTAATGTGATGTCACGAGATGCTGCTGCTGCACTCATATGAAGGCTTGGCTGCTTCACAGAACTTGAACAATCCAGAGCCCTGGCAAACGTACCTATAGACCTGCAATACAAAACCTTGTCTCAAAATCTGTTAATAAAATGTAACATCAAGCTATTGGTCCTTATATGTTTTAACACTCAAAATATTACAAAATTTTGAATAACTTGCATATTCCAGTGCGATGTACTATACATGTAAACAAATCATTCTGGTTGGTGTTAAGGGAATCAATGTGACAAAAAACAGCATATAAAATACTTAATAAAGTAAATTTTTTTCTTGACCTCCTATCTGCAAGTTCTAGTATATTTATTTTGGAAAATATTGAGCATTTTAAACAGGTAATAAATTAATCTGCAACATTACTTGATTATCCCCAGAAGGATAGTGAGCTATTAAATCAATAAACATTCAAATTTGTTGTTACTTGTTTGTCTGTTAAATACTTACCTACAAATAATAAGGAACTGGTCTATTTTTTTGTCTGATAGGTTATGATGAGGTGTATAAACAAGAGTTTCAAGGTCTTTCAATTGCCTGCTATCTTCTTCACCTGAAGAAATTAAATATCTACAATGAATTCATAAGATTAAAGTAAAAAAAGTGTAGTACTCCCAAACATTATAAGTAATGAAGTTATCCCTTTGCTGAAACAAATACAAAGACACAGATTCAATCAATGCTTAGCTCCTAACATTTTACATTTTAGTTAGACTTTTATTGGGAAATGACCATTAAAAATCATGTTCACAAGACAAAATATTAGTGCTCTCCACAAAAGCATGCTGACTGGTGCTTCACTAAAAGAGAGTTCAAAACATGCTGACAAATAGTACTATCCCAACAAAAGATAAGGAGTTCAAAGCATGCTGACAAATAGTACTATCCCAACAAAAGATAAGGAGTTCAAAGCATGCTGACAAATAGTACTATCCCAACAAAAGATAAGGAGTTCAAAGCACGCTGACAAATAGCACTATGAAAACGAAAAACTACAGAGTTGTCCGCATACACCATACAACAACAACAAAAACACACACACACACTTTATCAACAAAAGAACTCATCTTTCAGTCGTGTTCAGTCAGGAAGATGTGAAACTTATGGGGTTGGCTGGACTGTTCATCTTGCCAAAAATAATAATACAAGCATTCATGTTGACATATCATGATTGGTCAAATAAAAAGTGCTTACAAACATTACATCCCAGTTGGTTTAAAAAAAAACACTGATTGGTGTATATTTCCTCATGTACCATGCTGATGATGCTGCCCTAGTGCTACTACTGCTGTTATATCATTCTTCACACACACCAGACTAGCTCCTGTAGTCAACTTGGCAAACATTTATTTGTCTTTGTTTATGAGCAGAAACCATCACAAGAAAGACAATGATGATTGGACATGCCACAGTAATGCTTCTGTAAACATTGGTGGTGTACAACTTTCTCGGCTCTCACTACTTACAGAAATCTTGAAAACCACAGAGAAAATTGCTTTAAAGAGCTGAAGAACCAGATCTTAAACTGTGCAACATGTGTAGCCACTAATCTGTTTTGTATGTGAACTAAGATGGGAATAATAGCCTGGAAACTAGTACTAATTTGGCCATACTCATGGGTAATTCAGATTCCAGAATATTGGAAGGCTTTGTTTGAGAATCAACCCACCAAAAACATCTTCCTAACTTCCAGACTAGGCTCAGTGTATCTGCCAGGCCTTGTAACCACCACACTATAATAATTCTGAACATACTAACTGTACCTTCATGAAATTTGGCAAACTTTTAATAAATGTTACAAACATGTTGCACTTATAAAATCAGAATTTTTAATAAAGTATTTTTTCTGTAAATTTACAGAACTTTACTAGGTCAGTCTGAGTGAAAGGTGATTTTTAATGTTAAGAATAAAACCACTTATTTTCCTTTTTCATATTTCATTTGCATAATTTCTAAAACCTCCTATATGAATATCAAAAGTTTTTCTAAGGAAAATTTTATATTTGACATTTCATTTTCTCTTTCCTGATACTAACTGTAACAAAATCATCACAGCACAATGAAATGGGAAGCTGAAAAATATGAAATAAAATTAACAATACCATTTTTTTCTTCTTTTAGTGCATAATTGTCTTGCAAATTTTAAATTATTTATCTTCAAAGTTTTAACAGTTAACCATTTCACTTCTGTTTTTTTATTTTATGGTTTTATTGCTGGAATTTGTGTCACAATAGTAGTGGAATCCACCCAGCCCGTAAACATGAAAGTATCCATGAGAGTAATTATGCTATGATTTTTGATAATGTATGCATATCTGTAAAACATTTTGCAGGTTACTGGTAAACATTAAAAGGCTTTCATACACAAAATATCAGGTATTTAAATTAAGTATTAAGATTTTTTAATTAAAGATTTTCTCATGAATTTTTTATTTCAGAATATTGACTATGCAACATGCAAAGTAATTTTGATTTTATGATTAAAAATACTTTTATGTATTATAGCATTTTCAAATTTCACATGCAAAATCTTTATAACCTACAAATAATTATAAAGTGTTTTTAGAAAAAACTTTTTATATTTTATCTGTTACTTTCACTACTGTATCTCTGTATGGGTTGGTTTGATTCGACCGACTTCGTAACCTCAATAAAAAATTACGAAATAAATATAAATTATGCTTTTTTCACTCTAGAATGACTATAAATTATAACACGAAAACAAAAACGTTTAGTCTAAATGGCTTAAATTTAATAACATCATACATTTGTATACATTTATAATTTTTTATTATATTGACCTTTCAGCCGTGCCTGGCTAACGTTATTGAAGTTGCAATGATGTGGCACACATGCACTCATGTTACTATATCCAATAGTATAAAACTGGCCTTTACCAAGGGATCTGTCTTGGTTATGTTTTAGTGGACTAATATTTTGTAAAATGCACTAACACTTCAGTTATAAAACATTATATATGTATATACATTATTACTATTTACAATTAAGTTCTTGAAGTTATTTTTCATAAAACATAGAATGGTAAATAAAGAATTAAGATAAAATTATATCTTTTAGTTATGACCTTTGTACTCATTTTCCGCATGGCATAGAATGCTAAGCCTTATCAAATTTCACACATGGAGGATGTGAAACAAAATAATCTTTTTTTAGGTTTTATATATACAGTTGAACAGCCAAAAAATTGTAAGTTACTATATCGATGCCATAGAATTCCATTATAATTTATCAAGCTAAGTAACTGAGCTGTATTTGGGTAAAAAAATATAAAATATCAAGCAAACTACAGACTCAACTCACTATCTTGAAATCTTGGATTGAAAGAATGAGTTGATGTCATAATACTTCAAAATGGCACTAGGGGACATTCTGAGCTTTTAATTGGTTATTCACATATCAGAGACAGAAATACTTGTACATAAGAGAGTGCTTCCAAAAATGGAATTAAGTGAGTGGGGCCACTGTGTGTGTTTCAGTACATGAGCAGCATCTCAGCAAATAGAAAAGATAGGAGATTCTTATTTTATATTCTAGTTTGTCAATATCAGTAATTGGAGTTCCTAATCCGCAAGAAACTATAGATTTTGTATTTGGACATCACAAACAACTAATCTGAATCAATGCTGCATTCAAAATACCACGTGACACACAAAAATCAATGTTTAACTGTATATTTTTAATATTTACTTTTAAATTAAGAAATTAACTAAAGGATCATACTAAAATTTGAATTATAATTTACAATTTGATAGCAAACTTATTAACATACATTCATAAAATAGTAGTTCAATAAAATTTTGAATGAGAGTCTACAAAAGCGATGACATGACCTGTGACCATAGGAAGACCCGTACAGATAGGGTTAAAAGCAATAAATTAATAGAAGCCCATTAGCTCTTTCCTGTAAACACCAAGACCAGAGCCCATGTTCTGTATGATTTCTGTACACACAGGCCTTATTTTTCTTCACTCAGTTTGTTGTCCAAAAACAAATTTACATAGCTTTAAAATGTGCATTTTAGAACACAAAAATATATCAGTTTCAAGAATATAATGTCTCAAAACTACTGTAATTTATCTAGCTTTCTAACTAAGCTATAAGTAGGTTAAATAATTTTGTTTGCTGTTTGGGGTAATGTATCAGTCCATATGAAAAAGAAAACTACTGTTGCACTGTGTATTTATGCCCACCAAAAACTAACAACAGTAGTTAGCTTTATGGAGAGGAAAAAATGCTCTTCCTATTGGTTATAAATATATCCATCAGCCATGTGAAAGTGATTAGCGATCAATCTTAAAAAATCAAGAGAGGTGGGAGGAGATCCTCAGGTGGGTTTGACAAATTTATTGATATCTCAGCAAATCAAAAAAGTAGGAGCTTGAAATTTTATACTCTTGCTTGTTATTACATACAGTTTGTGTTTCTAACTGACTGAAACTGTGGGAGCTTATTATTGAAGTTATAAAATTTATACATGAAGAACTTGAAGAGAAGAATCAACACAAAACAAAAATGAAGATTGAGAACTTTTAAATGTTTCCTTTTGAAAGCAAGAAATTAAAACTTAGATAATACTATAGTTTGATACCAAGTTTACTGACATATATTGATAACAGTTGTTTAATTAAATTTTGAATGTAATTCTGTAAAAGATCATGACCCAGCCATATTTTAGGGTTGTTAAAATACCATCATTCCAAACAAAACAAATTGTTCTATTTGGATTAAATAAAACAACCACTACAATGTTAACATAATACTTATATAATACTGTACTGACTAAAAACAAAACATTAGGGCATTTTTTTACACAAATTGCTTATTTTTAGCAAGGGAAGTATATTTTTCAGTATGATTTGGTGAAAAAATATATCTGTAGGACTCCTTACTTATTGCATCACATACAAAAGATACCACCATCTAAACAGTTAATGGATTAATGGAACAGAACTAGAGCTGGGTGATTTCATCAATTACCTACGAGCTGTGATTCCAATGACTAGTGTCACGTCAACTAATCAATTAATTGAAGTTACAATTACATCAATCTGTTAATCATGATAATGATTAAATCCAATGTTGGGAAAATAATAAACTAATCAAAATTACAATTAAATCAGTTGTCATGAAAATGGTTGCCATCTTGTTATGGTGCCACATCAAGTAGTTTGATCATTTACTAATTTAAAACAGCTTTAAGAAAAACTTAAATGTGATTTGATATAGCAAGAATTAGACTTTGGTGTCATATTAGAAGTAGTTTGGTGTTAAACTAAAGAAAATACATCAAATAACTTGAGATAAGGTAAGCTTACACAGTTACAGATGGGTTGAGTGGATAAAAATGACAAATTTATTAAAAGTTTCACAGTAGTAAGTAGTACCAAATTTGGAGAAGGTCTTGTTATCATCAGGTACAAGAAATTTACCTAGAAACAGGGATATGTGTGTGTGTGCATGTCTGTATATATACTGTATGAAATAAAATAGTCACATGACTTGGAGATTCATTGAGGCTTGATAAAGAATCTTGTTAATGTTTGATTCTTTGTTTAAAATTATAGTGTTTTCACTTTTTCGCAGATATACTATGTTTTTTTAATTGCAATGTTTGTAAACATGATGTCTTTTTATTATGTTTCCCATATGAAATTGACATCATATCAGATAATATCAGTTAAGTTTCCAGTTTCATGATTATGGTAGGTGATCGTAAAATATTCTTATGACTCAAATCTTTATTAAATATTATTTCTACGTTTATCCTATTTAAACAACATACATAAATAAATTTGGTAACTGGTTATTTAATTATTTCTAACTGCAATCGTGATGTTTTTAAATAAAATCATTATTACCCTTATCAGTGATAGTAAAACATTTTAATTATTTAATTATCAGTTTGTTTGATTTAGAAAAGATCAGTAGGAAATAACTGCATAATTTAAGAACAAACAAAATGGCAACAGCATGGATGTCTCAAGTTGACATTATCGATTAATTCGCTAAGTAGGGAATGTTCAAATTATCTTTTAATAAAATTGAAACATCATAATCTTTTTAGCCAAAAATGTTTTGTTTTACAAAATGCACAAATAGTGATCTCCAGATGATGTCTATAATATGGAACAAAGGGTAATTCAAAAATTACTTTCAAGAAAAACAAAACTACCATGTTGTCCCTAATTAAAACTACCTCTCTGTATTTTTATAAAGCTTACCTTGTCTGACAGCAATAGTTATCTAACATATAATCCTCTACTGTAATCCACTTTGTTACTGTAATTGTGACAGCAATAGTAATCCAACATATAATCCTCTACTGTAATCCACTGTTACTGTAATTGTGACAGCAATAGTAATCCAACATATAATTCTCTACTGTAATCCACTTTTGTTACTGTAATAGTGACAGCAATAGTAATCCAACATATAATCCTCTACTGTAATCCACTTTTTTGTATTGTAATAGTGACAGCAATAGTAATCCAACATATAATCCTCTACTGTAATCCACTTTGTTACTGTAACTGTGAGAGCAACAATAATCCAACATATAATCCTCTACTGCAATCCACTTTGTTACTGTAATTGTGACAGCAATATTAATCTAACATATAATCCTCTACTGTAATCCACTTTGTTACTGTAATTGTGACAGCAATAGTAATCCAACATATAATCCACTTTTATTACCATACTTTTGATTTGAAAAAAAAGAAGAAAAAACTAAAATTTACACATGCAAAAGTAATGCCTTCTCCCCAGTTTGCAATGCTCCCGGAGACATTAAGTAAGTGAAAATAAGATTAATACCCTGTTAAAATAATACAATAGTTCACAAAGTTATGAAGCTAGCACACTGTCATTTCTGTAAGCCATGGTCATTCTGCACAAAAGTGCATGTTTCCAGCAAAACAAAAACCAACATCTTGTAGAGTTCACTTTACATGTACAAACTAAACATAGAAATCATAATCAGTATTATTTTTTAGCACAAAGGTACACAATGGGCTATCTGCATTTTATCAATTATGGGTCAGTTAAAAAAATTACCATTGACCCACCTGGGGACTTCAATCAATAATCTACAGTACTGAGCAATGTATTTTATTGTGAGTGCCCCAGACCATACAAAATTGTAAAATAAATGTCAACATTTTTATCAAATTATGTGAATGGATGGTTCAAAAATAAAATTTACTCAATCTGTGACCAAAATATGATGTTGCTGTTTCAAAACATTTTCTTTCAGGACAAAGACAATACACATATCTATCATGCTCACTTTTTATAGTATTAAAAATACAGATGCCTGAAGTCTGAAAGTTCCACAAAAGCACTACATATATAATGATCTATAGTAATACAGAATATAGAAGTCTGCAGCATGAGTAGCACACGAGGTACACTAAACATAACATGAGTCTTGATTATTGTTCTTGTGCTCATAACCAGAGGTTGTTTTTCCAACTGAAAACTCTGTAATAATAATTCAACACTTTGTACATAAAATCCAGCCTGAGCTATAAAGATAATTGTTCCAAGTGAAGAACTATTTATTTTCTCAGGAATAAAAGTAATTTAATTAATGCTATTTTGCTTCTTTGATGACTGTGTTTTAGAAAGTGAGATTATATTTAAAAATGATTACATTATCTTCAAATAAAGTTAGTCTGAAGCTGACAGTACAGTTTTTATAAATTATTAACAAAATCAACTAGCCTAATTTTGTGGGGAATTACCTCTTGAAAAACATATAAATATAGTAGTGAGCAAATATACCTTCTGAAAGTAGTGGGGTAATATCTGCTTGATACTTTGATCCAACTCTGATCTCTCCTTTATCAGCTAGAAGTGTTTTCTGGTGAGGGTCAAATACTAAAGTGTAGAAGAAACAGTCCTGTAAAGAAAATACCTAGTTTAGAAGAAACAGTCCTGGAAAAAGAGAAATCTACCAAACACTAAAAGATTATATAAAAATAATATCCTGGAGAATGAAAAAACATGTCAAACATTAAAATCTAAAAGAAGCAATCCTGAAGAAAGTAAAACATGGCAACTACTATGGTGTAGAAGAAACAATCCTGCAGAAAGTAAAACATGTCAAACAACAGTGTAAAATAAACACAAAAAACAAAACAAATTACAAAGAAGTGGAGAACATTATATGAAAACGATTCTTGAGCCTCATCATGTTGTTACAGTCCATCTTGTGACATCTAATCGACTTGACAACCATGCATTTTGACAATAACCCTGCAAAAAGATTAGTCATAAAGCTGTTATGTCCAAAGCACACCACTCCTCCTTGCATAGTTTACATAATCCCACTATGGTATGAGGATAATGATTTCCCAGTGCCAATTTCAATAGTCTGATCACTCAGAAAAATATAAGCACCACATCCAGTGACTTGACTAATATATTTTCATTTGGAATAGCATAAATAACCATCTTATTCTCCAGCTGCTGGAATCATGTGGCAGTTGAACAGGAGGTATGACTGGAAGCCTTATTTTGATCCTGTTAGCCTTATTTCCTGTCAAAAATCCTTCTTGATCCTCTTGCATATTGTTACCTGAGGCTCATGAAAAGCTTTTATCACTAGCCTTTGTATTCATGGATTCTCACCTGTTACACAACACCATATATTGTTTAACATGGTTAGAATACAGTTTGTTACAGGTCTCTTTCTGAATAGTTCTGGCTCCACAAGTGATCCATATTACTTTGTTTTTCAATGTTATTAAGTCCAAGAAATATCCTATTTTCAAAATTCTAAATACCCGATCTGAATACATCTTTATGATCTAAGTGTATGAACATTTTATGTCAGAACGGGATGTTACAAACCCTTCCTAAAAACAATATATTTTTTGTGGCATCATACTCCCTACAAAATGCCAAACAATGTCCAAATGTAGTTCTAATTCATACCACTCCACCAACACTTTATATCAGTTGCAGTTGTCATGTGACTTGCTGAATTGTATATTATAAATTGTTTTACTGTATGGTATTCAATCCTCTATATAAAAAACTGTACAATATTTATTTATAAAACTTAATCTATAAAAAGGGAAAAACAATTTTGTAATAATGTCATTAATTAGATTACATTACTTGCAAGGAAAAATAAACTATTATGAAAAATGCAAACTTGAGAGATTTAAGGGTTGAAGTGAATTAAAATGTTCAATTCAAACAATATCAAAAAGAAACTACCTGAAAATACAGTAGTCAACATTTGCTAGTAATCATGTTTTTACATAATAGGTACACTAATGTTAATAAAGAACAGTTCTAAAAATAGACATAGCTTGGAAGTCCATTATCTGGACATTGTCTGCAAAGTGCAAACTTTCTGCCTGGGTGACTTTGATTGGATCCTGGCTTTGTTTTCCGACCATACCTCCGAATTGAAAGTTCATACACTGAAATTGTGAGGTACAAATTTGATATCACTGATTATTACATCCTAAAATTGGTCTGACTGACATTATGCAGTGCAGAATATGCCTTGTTTAGGTCAAAGGCATCATCTTTCCCCTGCAGAGCTTAACAGGGTTGTTGGGATGCTGCAGGGAGGCATGACTCAATGCAGGGTCTCCGCTACTCTTGGCACATCCCAAAGTGTGGTGTCCAGGGCCTGGAACAGGTTCAGGTGGTTTGGCAGAGTCAATAGGAGACATGGTAAAGGAAGAAGACTAACAACTCCACAAAAAGACCACTACTTGACCATCCAGGCTCGAGGGAATCGCTTTACTCCAGCTGTTAACCTCCATACTTCTTCCAAGATGTCACAGGAGTCAGAATGTCTACACAGACAGTGCATAGATGCCTTCATGAAGCTATGTTGAGGGCTAGACGTCCTGCTTTTCATGTTCCTTTAAGCTGACAGCACAGGCAGGCACAACTGCAGTGGACTACAGAACACAGGGGGTGGAATGCGCAACAACGGAGGGCTGTACTCTTCACTGACAAGTCCCGCTACTGTGTGGACTTTCTTGACAGATGCAGAAGAGTTTGGAGATGCCCTTGTGAGCACAATTTGCCTCAGATTGTCATCAAACATGATCGCTTTGGAGGAGGCTCTGTCATGGTGTGGGGAGGCATCTCAATTGCAGGCTGTACTGACCTTGTAATCATCCAAAATGGAAGTCTCACTGGCCTAAGATATAGAGATGAGATCCTTGCACCCATTGTTAATCCACATGCAGGTACAACATGGCCAGACTTCCTGTTTATGGATAACAATGCGCATCCACACTGTGCAAGGGCAGTGACTGCCTTCCCGGAAGCTGAAAGAATTCCCAGGATGGAGTGGTTAGCTAGGTTTCCTGACCTCAGCCCAACAGAGCACATCTGGGAGCAGCTACAGACAAGACTACAAGCTTGTCAAGCCACACCAAAAACATTCCAGGACCTGGAAGCTGCCTTTATTGAAGAATGGCAACAGATTCCGCAACAACGATTGGCTAATCTGACCATGAGCATGCACAGACGTTGTGCAGCAGTCACTAATGCTCGAGGTGGTCACACAGACTACTGAAATAATCTTGACTGTGAATTGGACACTTCAATGACTGTTGTTTTTGAAATTTTTTCTTGTTAACACTGCACCACAGTGTAAAAATGACTTATCCAGGTGTTTTTCTTTCTACAATGTTCAATCTATACATACCATTGTGGTAGGTGTTTGACATATACCCAAAATAAAACATGATCCCTAGCAAATGTTGACTACTGTATAATGTGACTTAAAAAACACACCAAGAAGAAATGAAAAGAACATGCTTACCTCTTTGTTCAAGTAAGAAGTCATAGATTCTGTTTCATTTAATAATGTAACTGTACACTTTCCACGGATGTGTGTGGCTGGCAAAGTTTCAACTTGTCTTGATAGAAATAGTTCTCTATATTTAAGTTGGTAACGTTCACTTTCACTCAGAAGTTCAACTTCTTGTTCCTGTTCATCATCTAAGGCACCTGTATTAAAGAATCAATGTCCCACATCATAATTAAGAAACAGATCAATAACATTCCATTACTACATTCCTTCCCACTCAGGAAGGCTCCAGTGGATCTAGAAATTCTTAATTTGTTACTCTTTAGGTCAATCATATTCAAGACGTCCGGGATGCCCATAAAAATTCATAAGTTGATATTTAGTGGTAATAACACTAACGAATAAGAATAACAGAAAGAACTTCTGTATTACAGCATTAGTTAATAACTCATAAAACTAGTTAAAATTCAAAAGAAGGCTTACTTAAAACTTTTCAAAAACAGTTATTACATTTGGATTAGGTTTCTGTAACTGAAAAATTATCAATTATTTCAAACTTATAAGTTTCAAATAAAAACTTGTATGCCAGTGTTGTTTACGAAATTCTGGTAAATCTTAAATTACTATATCTTCTGAGTGGTCCCCCAGTGGGACAGTGGTAAATCTAAAGACTCCCAATGCTAAAATTCAGGGTTCAATTCCATGCAGTGGACACAGCAGATAACCCAATGTGGCTTTCTTATAAAAAAAAAAAAAACACAGACAGACAAATTTCTTGAGTGAAAATGTTTTCTGAAGTTTCTCACTTCATACATGCCAGTGGTTTTTCTTTTTGGCTGAATGATCCTATAACTAGCCTATACAAAAACTCAAATTTTTCATAACCTTATTCATGTGTAGATGCACAATATACAAAAGTGGTTCTGGTATACTTCCCTTATGATTTTTTTTTTTTGGTCATTAATCATTCAAGAATTCAATCACCAGCTGATTTGTAACTTCTACAGCTAAGTTGTCCATTCTTTCTTTATACAGTCAAAACAGAGCTCACCACATTAGCTGGTCCCCACCAACATCGTAACAGGTGTGGGGAGGAAACAAAAAAGTGGCTGAGTAAGGGATGAGTATCTATTTACAACAAACTTTACTCTAGAAATATTGAAGCTAATCATTGTCAGTTCCATCACATACAAAACCTACCCAAACTTAACTGGAGGACAGATATAAATGCCATAAAGTCCTGTCTAAAGCATAATGGAAAGGAAGGGATGCTATCCCGAATCATCCAATAACAGATACAATCTGCTTAACTAACAGAAGAAAATGCAGTAAACATAGTTTGTTATGTTATGTTTCATGAAACCAATGATTTTTCTTAGAAACATGACAGGGTAAAATGATGTAGAGCTACTTATTTAGGACTACAGGTTGTTGTACAGAGAGAGAATGAAGAATTACTAACTTTTCTCCATGTTTTGCAAGCCATCCTAAGTATCATAATCTTTCTCACTTATGCTTTTCATATGTTGCTAAGTAGTATGAACCAATAAACTCCACTTATTATTTATTTTTCTATTTTATTAGAAGGTGATCTTCAAAGTGAATTGTTGAGCTGACATTGTTTTCATACCCATTATGCAGGATTTCTGTAATATGTCTTCTGTTAATTTTAAATACTTTACCAAACAGGAATATTAGTCATTTTACATGACAAAATAATTTAATGTCCAAAATTCTAGACATTCCCACAGTAGCAGCACATAAAGCACTGTACATGCTGATAATCAACACTTCCAGCTAAGGACAGATCAACTCATACGGGTGGAATTCATCTGAATAAGAAGGCCTATGGGGAAAATGATGAAGCAATCCCATTACAGCCTTCCAAAAGGAGATAGTAAGATATGAAAATCAAACAAGTCAAACCTAATGGCAAAACATAAAACCATAAAAAGGAAGAGAAATACCCATCTACTTAAAACACACTTTACAATTTTTTTACAAAGGGAATCACCCAGGACAAACATAAAACAAAAGCTGATGAAATATTGAATGTACTCTAAAAGTCTCCATTAGTCTGAAAAGGGTCCTCCAAAGTAAAATGAGAGGATAATGCCAAAAACACTTTGTATTGGGGTAAAAAGCAGTAAATACAAAGTTATGTGACTAGAAGGGCAATATACAGACACTTGCAGAGATACGTGAAGACCTCAAGATCCTAGCAATGCCAAGGTGACCCAAATACTGAGACTGGAATTGACAAACCAATTTTGTGTTAGCCAAAGAACTCTAGGAAACATGTTAATTAATGCTGAACCATCAGCAAAACCAAAGATCAAAGTAATTTATGCATAAACAGAGGCAAGAGACATCTTTGACAGGACTGAGTATTGGGCTAAAAGATTGAAATAACAAAATCAAAGTAAGACTGCCCAAGCCAAATGAAATTCTAATGAGAAAGAAAGACAAAGAGTAGTGGTACTTTTTTTAATACAAATAAAGTAATTGAAAATGTGAGAGGAGTGTCTGGGGGGAGGAAAGGGACAGCAAAAACTTATATTAAATATTCTACTTAAACATTAATTTTATTATTAGTTTACAAAGTACCTCAGTTACTAAGATTATTTTATTTTATTGTTCCTTTGTGTAAAGATACGACGCTGAGTAATCAATTAGTAATTTCAATGCAACAAGCATTCTAAGTTTCACATTACATGCTACTATAAGCTCAAGTTGAGTTGGTATGTTTTTTGCTAAATGTGACACTCAACTGACCTCCACCTTCAGCTGGGATAACTGATGTCTTTGCAAAAGTACAAACTTTTACTGTTCAAATTATGGATACAATCACTGAGGCTTCAATTTGTATGCCAATAATGTGCTCCAACTGTTCTTATTTCCAAACATTTTTCATGCCATTACTCATCTTCTTAATGTTACTATTTCGATCCCCCTGAATAAGAAATCTGTTAGACATTGTGAAATATGCTGATATGATCTTTTATGAGTACTGTAATTTGTCCATTTGGTAACCAGATATAACAATGACCAGCCAAATTAAACAACACAAAGTAGTGTACATAATATCATATTTTTACAAAATGCTAACATTTTCCTAAACTGAAAATGTGTTTCAGATAGATACTAACCTTCGCTTACAAAATAGCTTTTCTCAATTAGTACTGCCTTCTATCTATGCAAATTTTCAATGCTCACCACTAGCCTTCCACCTCCCACTTCTGTATATCCACATGTAAATTTTAAATCTTTTAGTAGCTACCAAAAAAGCCAAACTAAACTTATAATACATTAGCTAGAAAAACATTGAGGATGTATACATAGTTCAGAAAACTGTATTACCTTTTGTAAAGAACTTCCACTATAAGATTAAAACCTTACTTGCATTCAGTTGAAATTTTGACATTCTGTAGTTATGTGATAATGTTCATAATAGTGAAGGTCCTCTTAGAATTATTATTATAAATCACCTATGATTTAACAATTTTATGAATGAACTGCCCTAGTAAATAAAGAAGTACATTAGAAACCTTCACACAAGAAAATATTTTTTTCTTCTCATAAACTTCTACTTCAGCAATCAATTTTACTATTTTGGTAACAATGGTTTCTTTTAGTTCTAATATTAAGGTTAGTACAAAACATATCGCTTCTGTTCAAACTTCAATTACAATGATGTTCGTAGTTAAGCATAAAGCTACATAATGGACTGTCTGTGCTGCACCAACAGAGGTATCGAAACCTAGTTTTTAGTAACATCTGTGTTGGGAGGGGGGGAGGCACTCAAAGATATAATCACACAGTATTTAAAAAATGATAATTCATGAGATCCCTGTTTCAAATTGACATGAACCATTAAAGAAACAGGGGACACAATCACAGAGACATGCAAAATGCAAGGTTATCCAAAAAATTATACATTTAGTTAAAAACATTTATTTCATAATTGAATATATATATATATATTCATGCTAAGCATCATATCTCTTTCTTAAACAGCTTAACTTTTAAGCTAATACTTTTAGTTCTGTAACTGATGACTGATTAATTATGTGCCAATAAAACTGTGTAGCAAAGAGTATACATAAACCAGGAGAGATTCTACTGGTACTCAGTACCAGGAATTATTTTAGTAACAATACTCAGTTTATTTGATTTTCATTCAACCTGCATGACCTTTCATCTTACTGTCAGAAAGCATACATGTCACAACTCACAGAATCTAAACAATCATTAAATATTCTTTCAATGAGCAAATAAATGACCTAACAGGATTAGTTCTTGGTTATCACTCAAACGTAAAGAGTTTCTGCATGCAGCGTTTAGTTTTTGAAATAAGTTCCCAATTCTGTAACAAAAGCAATTATTTTTTGCTATATATACATACAGACCAACATATGTAGAAGAATTAAAAAAAACTTTATTTCAGTGAGTTTGAAATACCGTGTTTTAAAATGGCATTTGTAAGGAAGATCTTAAAACTTACTAACATTAAAAAAAGAGATTTAAACAACTAAACCACTAATAGTTAACCCTGCTTGTACCATTAGAAAAAGGAATTAACCTTTCAATATCTCTATGCTAAGAAATTTTGTTATTATCAACAGCTAATAAAGCTAACTTCACAAACATTATCTTTTGGATCTATCTTCATTAGCATTACTAGATACTAGAGATTAGACAATTATAATCCTATCCTCTTCGATGACGAGGAACCCACTTTGAGACTAATAATGGCTGGAGACGGCTTAAATGATGATGATGATGACAAAACCTTGTCGAAACGTTGTACATTTGCTGTCATGTTAAACTTATATTAAAGTTTTTCTTCATTACCCATTTAAGCCGTCTCCAGCCATTATTAATCCAAACAATGTTATTATCCACAAAATTAAGAAAATTGAAATTTTATAAGGTATGGTGATAAGTATTAAAAAATCTTGAAAATAATTCTGGCAGAATGAGCAAAAAATTATGGGCTTAACTCTTTCAACCCGAGCTCGGTCCCTGGTACTGACCTCGTAACCATTTTGTGCTTGTTATAGTTTTCATGCTATAACTTTTAAATTAGAAAGCAGATGTTAACAAAATTTGGCACATTATAAGTAAACATTACAATGCTTTCATATGCAAAATAT